ATTCTGAGTCGACATTGCCATCTTCATCTTTGCTCGGTTCTTCCTGAAGAACCATTTTCAGCTGCTGTTTCTCTCAATAGGCCTAGTCCAAGTTTCATATTCTACACAAGCATATAATTCTCTCTAATGAGTGTTTACAACATTTCCAGACAGTGGAGTTAAAGAAAACTGACAGCAAGAAAACTAAAAATGAGTACATTTCCACATACATTAATATGCTATGGTCTTCCTCTTTTTATTTTATTGGATACAATAAAAAGTGTTTCCCATGTTGCATAGTAATGTATTTGATAGGTATCTTTAAGATATTTCAGAAGTTAAGTTTTTAAACACAAGTAGAAAAAAGAGATCTTTGTAATGAGATACTAACTTCAGCCTTAGATATTGAAAAATACATTTTTGATGAAAATACCTTTAAACTCCATACTGAGTTCTAAATCACTCACAAGAAATTACTTCAAGAATATCCCATCACTTTCTTCCATTTAAACTTGCAGTGTGGTAGAAAACGTTTATATGCATAACAGACACCCAGCCACCCACCTACACACATACACATATACCCAATCTTTAGAATCAGGGCTTAAAAATATCTAGTTAATACTTTCAGGACACTCAGTGAGGTCTGTGACTATTGATCAGTCCTGCTGAAATAATCCTTCCTCCCTCTGTTCTAGGTCACTGTCATTCATCTTTCCTGTAGACTGCTTAGTCCTCCGTGTTCATTAACTCAGTTCATATTTGAAATATTCATACATTTTAGAACGATTTTTCAGTAATGGCAATACTTGGTCACTACATCAAAATCCATACTATTGAAATAATTTCAAAGTGCTGATTTAAATATCTATGTTGAAGCACTCATTTTTTCTCCTCTCCTCTTATTAAATGGCTGCCTTTCAAAATGGACTGAAATGATGACCACTGCTTAGTACACACTACAAGGAGCAATAAGCCCTGCTAAAATGGGTTTCATAATTCTGTCTCAGAATGATTCATTTCTTTCATTTTTTTCTATTAACTGCATCTTCATTTATTTTTTTAAAGAATCCTCACCATGTGAAAAATAGTGAGTTTTGAACATTAATCACCACATTCAATTTAATGCTTGCAAGGCAATAGAAGAAATATTTTTGAGTTTACTATTGCTAATATTTCAATGTAATGAAAATATCAAAATCTTGCTGCTTTTGAGTATCTATAGTAAATATCTTAGATTAGATTAGATATTCAACTGTTCCATACTCATTTTTCTAATACTTGCTACTTCATCCCCAGTACAATGTGGTATGTTAAAATTCCAACAGTGAGTAGACAGTCTTGTCTGCCTTGCACTTTCTCTAATAAAGAACAAGTTATCATTATAGTTTAAGAAAAGAGAATTAAATTTGAACTTCATTTTTCCATTTTCAGGGATTTCTTGTGAGGAGAAAATGATGCTGTGTGAGAATAATTTGAAAACTTCAAGGTGCAATTATCATCAAAGTGTGGCATCTGCTAAGGTTTTTAACTTCAGTAATGTGAGCAGTAAATATGCTTTTGGGCATGTGGTCACACTAATCTTTTTTTCAGAAAATGTAATTCCTAGGCAGCCATAATGTTTTTATTTTTCTTATTGTGTAAACTTACCTTGAATAATTTACAGCCTTCTCATGGTCTGAAATTTTATGTTGCCTTAATAAGTTGTCACAGCTCAAGACATTATCAAAACTATTCATAATTTTCAATGTGGATGTTACTACAGAATTCACATCTCTTTTTGCTTTCAATAAGATACACATTTTAGAAATTGTAAGTAAAAATTTGAAGTTTCATATTTTATTACACAATAGCTTTACTAATGTGGTTGTAGAGAAATTACGTACTTGCATATAAACATTGAGTATTTTGAATTGCTAAGACAGTTTTTACTACATTCAGTACAGGACAATGATCAGTGAATATCCAGAACTTCATTATGTCTTCCACTTCTGAAGCAAGCTCTAGTCACCTTTGAAAGGGGACCAAATATATCTGGGCACAGGGTCTTTTCCGAGACTGACACTCAACCAAGGACCATCTATGGATATAACCTAGAACTTCTGCTCGGATGTGGCCTGTGGTAGCTCAGTAACCAAGTAGTTTTCCAAAGTAAGGGGTACACGGACTATTTCTAACAGGATCTCAAGGGCAGGCTGTTTGACACCCCCCCCCCCAGGGGAGGAGCAGTCTGTTAGGCCACAGAGGAGGACTTTGCAGCCAGCCCTGAAGATACCTGATAAAACAGGGTCAGATGAAAGGGGAGGAGGTCCTCCCCTATCAGGGGACTTGGAAAGGGGCAGGGAGGAGACCAGGGAGGGAGTGTGGGGTTGGGGAGGGAATGAGGGAGCGGGATACAGCTGGGACACAGAGTTAACAAAATGTAACTAAAAAGAAAAATAAAATAAAAAAAAAGAAAGGGTTTTGGGAAGATTTAAATGCAATGGTGACTCCTTACTGAGTGGTGTTGGTTCACTGAGCTTACTTTCCCAAATATATTGCCAGATGTTCACCTAATTTCAGCAGGTCTTTCAATTAATTTAAAGCCTATGTTATTAATCTGTAGCATATTGTAAGCTTTCACACCTTCCATCTACTCACTGGAGGAAATGTATACAGGAGAAATTATGTTGGGTCTTTGTGTGCATCATGAAGTTTCACTCACAGCTATAATTAAAATATTCATTCCATTCATAAAAACAAAAGATCAGTTGTATCTTTAACCATTTTTTTTCTATTTGATTGACTGTTGCCATTTATCTTTAATGGAATGGAGAAACATATTTAAGAAATTTAATAAAGCTTTATTGTAATAACTTTATGAGCTAGTAAGTGCCCATTTTGTGTTTATATTATTTAAAGGCATTTGTCTATTGGGACTTTTCATTTTCCAAAATTTAAGGCTGTATTAGGATCTGGTATGTTCACATATTTGTAGAGTTTCTTCATGGACTTTATTAGATTCTGTTATATAGTTTATACCGTTTTTCCTTAGAGACAGTTGATATTTAGTTAAGCCTTTTTCCCATTTAGGGTGAATATAGGTACTGTAATCTATGTTTAATTAAAGCCAGAATCTTACTCAGTACTAACATAATGATACAAAAAAATGCATCTTCTGTCACTACAGAGCTGCTTTTACTCTATTATGCTGGTTTGATGGGATAAATATCTGGCTGATGGTCTTTAGTAAAATTCTAATAAAGGTAACTTAACACAATACATTTTCTACATATGAAGATAACTACCAAACACTCATTATTTTGAGGTTATAGAAATCACATTTATAACTCCCAAAATTTTATCTATATTTAGATATCATTTTTTTCAAGATATGAAGGTATGAGGAGTACTTACTTGTAGGGAGGGGTGTTGATGAGGGCAAGAAGTGTCTATGTGGTCAGAATGTATGATATACATGTGAAATTGTCAAAAGAAAAAATTTAATGCCAAAGGTATTACTTAGAGAATTAACTTTAGGAAATATGTATTTAGAGAAAGGCTGGAGAGAGGTATGTATTGAATATGATAGCCCAGATTTTGCCTTATGGTTGAATACTGGTTTATATTTTTCTTTAACTGAAGAACAACATTGGAAATTAAAACTGTATTTTTCCTCTAAACATTTATTGCCACTGTGTTAGAGCAAGGACTCATTCTATGAAGTGGCAGGACCAATAATAACATTTTTACTCGACTTTAAAGTGTAAGGCCAATGGTATTTTATAAGGATTCTTTTCTTTCTTTTTTAATTTTTTATTTTTTCACAGTTTATTCATTATATATCTCGATTGAAGCCCCCTCCCTCAACTCTGCCCAGTCCCACTCTCCCTTTCTCTCCCCCCCCCATCCCTTTCCACTAGTCTACAGAAAGGGGGAGTTCTCCATCATTGCCTTCTGCCCATAGCTTGTTAAGTCTCATCAGGACAGCCTGGATCCTATAAAGATTATTTTTACTGGCTACACATTTTTTCTTTTCTTGGAAAATTACAAAAAAAAAAGATGACTATATTGTTGTCAGTAAACGTGTTATGACAATTCTGCAATTAAAATTATGATTTGATAAATAAAACCCTGATAGCTCTTCTAATATCTTTTTGACTTTAAAATAAAACATGGGAAACATATTAAAACAATGCCTTTAAAACAACCAAGGCATTTTTATGATTTAAGGTTTATAATTATTCTGAAAAGTAATAAATGAGATGATTAAGCTGAGTTTGATGGTTACTAGCTATAATTACTTTGACATTCTAATAACATGGGAAGATGAACTCAGTCACCTGAGTATGCAGAAGGCACACCTGTAAATTATAGGGTCAGATAAAGTGATGATTGTTTTTATTTTATTTTATTTTATTTTATTTTATTTTATTTTATTTTATTTTATTTTATTTTATGTGTTTTATTTTTCTGCCTCCTTGAGAAAGTAGATAATATAACACAGGGCAAACGTTGCTGATTTTAAAGTGATCTGTCATAAAACATCACGTATAAGATGGGCATGATGATACACCACTGTATAAGCACTAAGATAGAAAGAGGCAAATGCTAAGCTGAAGGCCAGTCTGAGCACCTTATCATGGCATTGTGTCAAAGAAAACAGCAAACAAATGCCTGAGTTGTTTCTTAGTGTCAGAGCCTACCATGTGTGAAGCCCTGGGCTCAATACTTACTAAGATTTTATTTTAATAATGATTTCACAAAATCTCCACAATATAGTAAAACATTTAATGATTTAACAATCTAAACAAATACATGTGCGGTTTTTAAGGCTGTAAAATTTTGATGCACTACAGAACTGTCAAGAAGCATGTGGATTACTGATTGCATTTAGATGGATTACTGATGGCATTTAGTTTTCTAAATATATTGTATAGTATAAATTAATTTTGTGTGGCTTAAAACATACTTTTAAAGTAAATTTTAAGCTCCTTCCTCGGCACTACCTAAGAGGTGGCTGCCATGTCTTTTATGGCAACATGGCTGCCCTTAGGCCTCTGGTGAAGCCTAAGATCGTCAAAAAGAGGGCCAAGAAGTTCATCAGGCACGAGACAGACCAAAATGTCAAAGTTAAGCGAAACTGGTGGAAATCCAGAGGTATTGACAACAGGGATCGGAGAAGATTCAAGGGCCGGATCCTGATGTCCAACATCGGTTACAGGAACAACAAGAAAACCAGGCACATGCTGCCCAGCGGCTTCCGGGAGTTTCAGGTCCACAATGTCAAGGCGCTGGAAGTGCTGCTGATGTGCAACAAAATCTTACGCTCTGAGATTGCTCACAATGTTTCCTCCAAGAACAGAAAAGCCATCATTGAAAGAGCAGCAGAGCTGGCCATCAGAGTCACCAATCCCAATGCTAGGCTGCGCAGTGAAGAAAATGAGCTTGTGTCTGTGTTTTATTTGTGTTTAAAATAAAACTACAAAAACTGCCAAAAAAAGAGTAAATTTTAAACTCTTTGTGAACATGTATTTTAAATCTATTTTTTGTTATTTTGAAAGATAAAGTGCCTATAAACTTTCAACATTTAATTTCTGTTCAGCATGTGCATTTGTTGACAAGTTGAGAACCTTCATATTTTTAAAATTAAATCTGAAGACGTTTCAAATGGCAAAACTTTAACTTTCAGGAGAAAAATAACACTTACAAACTGCCTTGAAATCTTGTAAGCCTTACTGTGAAATACAATGGTTTTCTCTAGTGCCGCACTGAAGATTTCTTGACTATTGCAATAGCCTAGATATATTTACTTCAAGAAGATTTCCCAGGTCTTAAGAGTATCACTTCTTTCCTTTTATACCTCCAAAATCAACCTCCACTATAAAAACCTGGCACGACAAATGCACTACATTTGCTAGTGCATTTTGATTTACATGGTAGTTTTAATTCTGAAAACTTTCGAAAAACAAAACCTCTTATTTTGCACTAAAGTTGCTTACTGTCTCAGAAATATTACAATCCTGTTTTTAATCATTTTAGTTTGTGAGCCAAAAATCTTTAGACTGTCAGTAGAGAAAGATTTTCAATTTATTAATTTTATCTTAGTGGCTTCAGCCTCAGCAGTTGTAGAGCATCTCATTTTCTGCAAATAGGGATACAATCAGTGTTGGCACTGTGTGAATTAATATGAAAGTACTTTCAGCATATAGCAGAATATAATAGTTATTTTAATCTTCTCACATGTTGGAGGATCATTTATGAAAATATGTCCTAATAATACTTCAGGAAAATTTCTTATCTACTTATGTATTAAGAAACATTCTTGCAAAAATTTTAAAAGTAATTTTTTTTAAAATTGCTCACAGCTAATGACAATAAAGCTTATGTTAATGAGAAAGAAATGTCATAATGAATATCATAATTATAACATTGTAACTGTAAGTTTTCTTTTCCCAAACTTTTGAAGTGATATAAAGAGGCGTGATAAACTTAATTATATTAGTTTTAACTGTTTTACTACAGACAAGTGATGACATTCTCATTGTTGGTAAAAAACAAAACAAAACAAAACAAAAAAATCCATTCAAAACTAGAATGTTGGGGATTGGTGTGGTGCTATGTGTTTTGATGCTAACTACTGGCCCTCAAGATCTGGCTACTGCCCAGATAAACTTATCCTTATTGTGTAAATCTGCCCAAGATATTATTCCTGATTGGTTAATAATAAAAGCCTGTACCTGCACAGGGCCAAAAAGGTAGGCGTGGCTAAAGTTCAAGGGCTTGGAGGACAGAGGATCTTAGGAAGGAGAAGGACAGAAGGAGAGGGGTTAAGAGAAGCTGCTATGGGTTAGGTGGAAAAGAAACCACATGGGCTTAGAGGAAGGACTAGGAAAATGGAGTGGAAAGGAGCAATCAAGATAAAGAATAAGCAATTATTTATGGAATTATGGATGGGAGGTAGACGAATTAGGAATGATTAAAGCAGATGGAATGGGATGGGTGCTGGGCAATGAGATAGCATTGGTGGAATTATTTGCCCAGCCCACGGTGATATAAGGCAATTATAAAATCTAACAGGTATCTGTGTCTTTATTTGATTGTGATAGCAGGTTAAGTAATACCATAATTTTAATTGTAGGGCTAATAATAAGCATTATTACACCGTGCTCATAAATAGCATCAATACTAGGATCAAAATAGACAAATGACATAATCTCAACTGAGCACTAAGACCCACTGTTTAGAGAAACATGGACTTTGTATCTGCAGTTCTAATTTTAGTATCAACTACTTTAGTATCAGTCTTCTCTGCTTAAAATTTAAAATAAAAAAATAATTATTGAAAATATTTCCCGGGTTTCTTCATGTCAGGATTCAGTGGAATAGGTATGAACAAAATATAAATAACAAAAGAAGCTGGGAGTTAATCTGAACTTGGTGCAACAGAGACACCAGTGCAAAAACACATGAGATGTCACTCTATTCTTTCACAACTCAATGCACATCCTTGGATATCATTGCAGGAAACACTTCAGTGACAGCATTGAAAACAATATCCACCAAACGACAGCTTCACACACAAGAAGGCATGAAAGGAACAATGGTGTATTGGCATCAATGCTGATGCAATGCTACAGGCTCAGAGTGGCTAAGGGCAGTGCGCTTGTGGCTGTGGGCCCTGACAGGGTTATGATGTCACCCTTCGAAATACTAATTTCCCCATGTTTCGTCTTCTTGTATCACTTTCCTTCTTTTCTGTCCAAGCCAGGTATTTGGAAAAATCTAACATTTTTTTTCCAAAGTGAGTAAAATTTTATTAAATCAAATTATAAACAGATTCAAAATTTCACATGAGATGTTTTATTTTTGCAATTTTATAATTTCAGAATACATCAATATATAAAATTTGCTCTAGAAAATTCATCATTTGTCCATAAACTCAACAAATATTTTAAACATATGTAAAAGTGACTTAGAAATAAAAAACCAATAAAATAAAGCAAATGTAAGAAGCCAACTAAAAAATAATAGTATAATCTTTTAAAGTGATTCTATTGGTCTTAAAATAGGTACCAAATGAGACAGATTGCATTTTTTAAAATCCAAATAAAATATTTCAAATGCTCACTGGAAGTAATAGTGTTCACTCTCAGAAGCATCTATGAAACGAATTACTTAAGGCTTTGAATGAAAAGCAAACTCCTCGGCTATGGAAGATATTTCTAGGTGGCCACCTATCTTCTAGAAGATAAAAAAAATCATTTTTATGAGTTTGAAGAAAAAAAATTGAAAGTTCTCTAGTATAGATTAAGTATGTCACACATACACACAAGCGATAGTTTGTGAAAACAGTAAAATCAAAATAGGAAGTTTAACCCCTAAATTTATCTCTCTATCGTTAAAGCATTGGGAAATTATATAGCATTTTTTTCACTTAAAATCACTTTTTATACCACCATTCTAGGTACAAGTACTTATGGCAATTTCCTCTCCAACAAAAAACAAACCAAAACAATCCCTCAAAAGCAAAAGTAGCAAGAAAATCCAAATCCTAAACCCAACCAACCAAACAACCAAGAAACTTTCATGCATCTTGGTACTAGAATAAATTGTTAAAGGTTAAATATCTTTCAGGGTTGTGCCTACAAGATGGTGAACACCAAATGATTAAATATCATGATCTAAATAACATAAAATATACTGTGTAGAAGTTTTCTAAACAATGTTTCCCTCAACATACTTAGAAAATAAGATTAGACTTTAATGAAGAAATTTTTCTCATGCTAGTATGTGTTGAAATTACAGTTGTAAACTAGGCTTCAAACTCTAACAGTCAGGCTTTGTCTTACAGTGTTAACATGGATTGATATCCAAGCTTATGGTCTTTCTTTAATTAGAATTTTTCTCAAAGTTTATTCCTGAAAAGGACAACATAAAACAGCACAGTCACTAAGTCTATCCAAGATGTTTTAAGTATACTGGATTATTTTAATATAACACATTATCTACTATGGACTTGACCTGTCTTAATTTTTAGGAAAAAATGGCAGTATGATAAAAGTGTGAGAGCTTTTATCAAGTGTGTTATCATTTTACATTTGGGTTAGACGACCTTAAAATGGAAATTGACACAACTACCTATTTGATAAAATGCAGTACTTTTGCTGAAGATAAAAAAACTTTAAACTGGCTGAGTCAATTTAAATGCTTAATGCTTTCATTATCCAGATGTTCCCAAATAGTTTACACATTAAAAATAAATTGGCTAATCCAAAGAAGTCATTGTAATTTGAATCCTCTTTGTAGTTCTACAGGACTGGGATGTTCAATTAAGTATTCCACCAATAGTATTTTTGTTCCACCAGAAAGACAAAAGCAAGCAAGCAAGCAAGCAAGCAAGCAAATAAACAAACAAAAGCAAAAACAAAATACTGGACACATCAGCGATTTTCATGTGTATTTATCTTCTTTAAGCATTTTCAAAGTAGAGGTGCTATATTAAAACAGAAAGACAATTGTATATAACATTTAATATTCCGTATTTTCATGGGTTACAAGTCACTGGGGACAATACTTTTAATCATGTATAAATCACACTCAAGAAGACCAGGCCCCTGTAGTTTAGAAGCGACATTACTTCTTGCTCTCTGTGAGGAAGAGCACTGGCACCATCAGGGTTTTGGTTATCAAACATTCAGATGTCATTTCACTTACTTGTTGGTGATTTACTTGATACTGAATTAAAGCAGATTCAAACTGGTCCTCTATCGATTTCAGAAGTAGATAGGCTGGTGTAATATGGGGCAGTATTGTCTTCTATGAAAATTCTTCAATGATTTCATAGCGATAAGCATAAGTGCTAAATGCCTTTTTAATAACTGCAGACCTACCTTGATTTTCACAATAAGCCTGTATTCATTTCCACAGGACAAAGTTTTCACACAATTTAAGGCAAAACAGGTATTAATTTACTTAACAGAACTCATGTTTAAATAATTAAAACTAATTTGTGTTTAAAGCTATTTGCAGATTTATTAAAGAAACAAATACAAATATGCATTTCTACAGAACTGTTTTTTTTTTTTTTCCAAAATGAGCTTAAAACTTGTTCCACAGTTTTCACTTGTATATATATCTAATGGCAACCCAAGTATTGGCCTCTGCACCACTTTTAATGAGACAATTGCCCTTCCATCGCAATTATAAAAAACTATTTAAAAAAAATCCAGCACATACACGTTAAATATTTTCCTTAAAAAAATAATCTAATCAAAATATTGAATACTTTAGATTTAAACAATATTTTATTTACAAATCTGATTTGATGTATTTTATTAATTATACAAGGTAATGCTTCAATTTTCAAGAACAGTTGCTTTTTGTTTTTATAGACCAGTGGAATGACATCCTATCTAGTAATATGTTCGACATTTCATTTCATTTTTCAAAATTAACACATTTCTGATACTTTTTTGTATAAACTTTATTTAATTGGGGCACATATCCGATGAAACAAAAAATAACATGCATAATTCCAAAAATAATTTTAAAGTAATGATACTTACCCTTTATGTAAAAAGACATCTATGGACAACAGTGCACAACAATATTATGTACTCATGTTTATGAGAAACCAAGCAGGAGGAAAAATGTGTTCATCCTGTTTACTAATAATAAGCAAGTTCATATGGCTGTTTGCATCATTTAAATAAAGTGTATATATTAAATTTCTAAGATTGCATTGCACTCCAAATTATTATGTATAGCCATGCTTGCCCTGTATTTAATGATCAATGGATTTCTGCTACTAACAGAGTAACTGGTCTTAAACTGTGTATGTGATGTAAAGTGTTAAATTATATTTTCATCTCCTTTTAATTGCTGCCTTGGAAAGCAAGAATTCCCTTCTTGGAGAAGAAGCACAGTAAACATAATTTACTTAAGGACTCAGTGAGGAATCATTTTAAGAATCAAGAATGTACCATAAGAATGGATTAAAAGGAATGTCATAACCAGTACCTCTGTTGAAGTCTATTACCACCGTTAAAATTTCTAAGAAAAGATAGGGCCTATAACATGGGGATTCCATTCATTGTCAAATTACTAAAATCTACCAATTTAATGCTTTCATACTGTTTATTTTTTTCCAATAAAAAAATAAATCTCATACATTAGAAGTGGTACACAAAAAACTGGGATAAAATTTATCAGATTCTTTATAGCACCATTTACACATTCTTAAAGTAAACATATGCACTTTCTTAGAAAGCGATATAAATATATAATACAGGACTTGCTAACCTCTGTCAACCATCTGAATGCGATGGAATAATCTATCTCTACTGTGCAGGTAGGCTTGTGCATGGTGGTGTGGCAATATCATTTTAAAAGTTTGTTACAGATGTGATGGGAAGCTGGAAGGAGTCGAATAAGCAGAAAACAGAGCTTAGATCTACTGTAAGCAATGAGTCGAAATGAGCCGTTACAGGTTAGAACTTATCATTGTTTCTGATCATTCAATGAAAAATGATTTCCACAGAAATAGATACATATATTGTTTTGGGAGTGGGCTGAGTGAGGTGAAGTGGAATAGAGAGTCCTACAGGTAATAACTGGAAGTGCAGACGAAATTGGTCTTCAGTGCAAAGAGGAAGGCAGCCGTTAAAAAGTCTAGGTGCAATGTGGTGCTGAAAGAAAAGCTCCCAGTGAAAAACGGAAAACCAAAACCAAAAACCAAGAAACAAAACAAAAACCAAAAATAAAAGAAAATAAACTGCAATGCAGCTTCAAGCAGTAATTTGTGGTGCTGAAAGGACAGCTCCCAGTGTTGAGGAAAAGATCTTGGATCTAGAATGAGGTGTCCAATCTGTATGATAAACAGCACACTGTGTCTCAGAGCGCCCATTCAATCTCAGTAAGTAAATGAAATATTGATTGAAAGTGACCCTGAAACAGAATGCATTAAAAAGACACAGAAAGCTGCAGAACTGAGGTAATTCGTATTCAGCGTGTTCACCAGCCTCCTTATAGCGAAACAAGACTATAAATAGTTGCATTTCATTAGATGTTTGCCTTGTGTCACCAGTTTTCTCCACTTTGGAGTATAGCTGAACAGCCATCTTTACATGCCTACCTGTGGCAGTCTGAAGCCATACTAATTTCCTTGAAATAAATTAAAGCATTGCATCACAAATCAATTCTACACGGTCTATAAATTTCAGGACTTTTTAAACAGCATGAAGCTGATTTACACATAATTCATACAAACCCTTATTTGTTACCATAAATTAAAATGTAAATATCTCTAATTTAGCTTTCAGTTTTAACTAACATATAACCATGCCAAGTAGGAAAAGTTTGGAATTCCCATTTACAATTAAAATTGAACTGAGTGCACTGTCAGCCACACTAGGTAATAAAATACACATAACTGTTTAAATGGTTTGGCTTCAAAGAAACATTAAATTCCAGATGAAATGTATGGGCTCCACACTGGACTACTGGAATTTTGAAAAAAAAAAAAAGATTAAAGATTTGCT